CTCTTAACCACAGGGTTTAACTTAGGAACCATCAATACATAACAATACATCAATGTTATTACTAAACTATTGGATGTTTATAATAGCTTCCATGTGTTGTGTACTAAGGACTTCAAGTCAATGCTGAATTGTATTACTACGCTATACATGTAAGACACGCGTATTCATTTTGAATTATTACTTTTTTATACCAATATTGTTATTAAAATGCAGCTGTTTTAATTGAAAAGTATTGAAATAGTTTACATGTCATGTGGACAAAAGACTCCAACTCAATGCAGCATTGTATTAATACCCTACACAAGGAGTTATTATTTATTTATTAGACTTTGTTGCACCTTCTATTATATGAATATTTTACTGACAATTCAGCATTTCTAGGTTGAACAGTTACATGTATTTACACTAGTTTGGATATCATGCAACTTATTGACACAATGTATACCTAATATTATTTATACACACACCTTTATATTAGATTGAATAGTTTCTTCTATTTTGTACGAATATTGATATTAAACTCAGATATTTTCATTTAAAAGTCTTGTTTTAACAATAGCTTTTATATCATGTCCCAATGACTCCAAATCAATGCAGCATTGTTTCATTTGACGAGTAGGACACACCTTCATTTTTACATGTTTTTAGCCCACCTTTTATTTAAAGGTCCCATGTCATGCTTTTCTGGTTATTACCCGTCCCCTTGTGTGTTATGTAGCTTTTTATGCATGTAAACGGTCTGCAGAGTCAAAAACCCTCAAAGTACACCCTGTAGCGAGTACAACTCTAACACAGAAAATACCTGTCTGTGCTGCCCCAGAACGCCTCATTGGGGATTTCTCTTTTTCCATTGTTTACTTCTTGGGTATAGTGACGTATTTCGGGTATAGTTACGTAACGTAACGGCTCTGAAGATTGGGCCGTTAGGTCCGCGGAGCCGTTACGTTTGGACCAATCCGCAGACTTCCTCACACACACACTCGGCGGGACGTTGCGAGGAACGGGACACTGTGAGCTGGCTCACTGGTGTGGGGTCGGCGAGTCGGTCGAACTCAGCCTGGGCACGCACACAAACTCCCAGCCAGGCTGCGGGTGTGTGTGTGTTTCGGGCTAGGTTTCGCTGTGTCTCGCTGTCTCGCAGACGGCCACTGGGCTCACAGGGAGGGGGGGGGGCAGGAGCTCCAACAAGCTGTTTAGGACAGAGAGTGAATACACATACTTTACAGAGATGCTGTATGAGAAACCAATGTGTGTTTGGAAAATTGCACAATATACATTTATTTTAGTAGACCTCAACAATGGAATTATGATCAGTAGAAATGGCCATGTCATGGGACCTTTAATATAAATATTTGTATGAAAAAACTAATTACATTACATGTTAGACGCTTTTATCCAAAGCGACTTACATACTCAATACTGTGGACAATCAGCACAGGAGCAATTTGGGGTGAAGTGTCTTGCCGAGGGACACAACGACATGCTGACTGCAGTGGGGTTTGAACCTGTGACTCCCTGATCCCAACACCAACGCACTATTCCACTGCGCCACACGCAAATCTGACATAAGAACCCAAACTCTATTGGATTAACTGTATTGAACACAGTGTTTCCCCTAGGTTTGCTGCTTTGGGGGGGTGCTGCTTGAGTGTGGGGGGGGGGGGGGGGGGGGGGGGGGGGGGTGGTGGTATTGTGATATATCTTTTTTAAATCCTCTGGAGCAGAGAGGAGCTGTGGATTATTGTTATTGATTAATGCATCAGTGTTTCTTAGGGTCAAAAACACTAAACTCACAACTTAAAGCGTTTAGTTTATTTAATAAAAGAGCACATGTTCAATGTGAAAAGTCACAGTCGATATAGATTAGTTGCAATTTGGTGCTATATATATATATATATATATATATATATTTAAAAAATAAATAATAAAAACACCTTGAATTTCAGGGGGGGCGCGGGGCTCCGTTGGCGGGGCGCAGCGCCCCTCCAAGACAATAGTAGGGGAAACACTGGAACAATATGAAAACATCCATTCACAGCGGATATAAATAACTGCTTTGCAGCTCTCCGCAATCAGTCCTTATCTATCTGCTGTATAGAACATGCTATAATGATGTTATACGTTTCTTAGTACAGAAGAGTTTGTTGTCTTTAGTTAAATCATCTTTAAAGAAATAATTTAAGCCATGATTTGATATGTTTGCTTGGCATTACAAATGTTGAACAACTTCATATTTATAGCTGTATTTTGTGTCCAATGTGAAAGGATTGTTCCCCAGCAAATCTCAGATGAGGCCTGTGTGAGCGTTATTGTGTAATGTATCTCTGAATGAGCAGAGTGTTTAAAGCAAATGAGAACAACTTGAATCTCTCTGTTTGTCCCTCCCTGTTAGCCGTGTCCAGCAGACATCATGGAGCTCCAGGCGGTGTTGATGGCGGCTGGTGGAGGTTCTCGTATGACCGATCTGACATACAACACCCCCAAACCAATGCTCCCTGTGGGCAACAAGCCCCTCATGTGGTACCCGCTGAACCTGCTGGAGAGGGTGGGCTTTGAAGGTGAGAGCTTAAAGTACTTCTACCATTACTGCTACACATGTCTCAATTACCGGTACCCCTGCTGCTGAATACTGTGATAAGTATTATTCACAACAATGCCATATACAAAAACATGCTTCTGCGTTGATGTGTACAGCCTGTGTTTGGATTGATATCTACCTCACTCCTTATTAGTTGGCCCCCTTTAGGATGGGACAGGTTAGTGACCGGCCCTCCCTCCACCTGAGCAGTCTAATTAGCCACAATAAATAAAAACACATGTGTGAGTTTGGACTGCAGGACTTTGAAGTAAAAACAATGGACAAATAAGGAACAATTTAGGTCTTACTTTCTCTGTCTTTCATTTTGTCATCATTATGGAATATGTGTGATGTCTTTATTTTATCCTGCATATGATTAACAAGATAAAATATATAAACATTTTTTATCAAATGCACTGATGGTCTGATATTGTCAAATGTCCTTGTGAGAGCTTCCCATTAATTCGATCTGAAGGTTGTGACCTTGTTAGCTTTAGCTCTCCATCCTGTGACAGGAGTGGAAGGTCTTACAGAAGTGCACCAGTGTGCTTGGTTAGTTCCCAAATAAAATGTAAAGAAGCAGAAATAAAACCAGTACTTCTAGTGTCAGTGTAGTGCCCGCTCAAAAACATAGAACAAAAAGTGTGCAAACTCAGTGTTAGCAATAATGTGGAAAGGGACTTTAAGAGAAATGATCACCTCCTATTCTAACATAAGGATTATAACTGTTTTCATGCAACACAATTATTGTATAGGTAAAATACTATACTAATACTAGTAAAAATCTATTTTCTATTGGATCTATTGGATTCTATTGGTCAGTGCTGTGCTGTTTGGTATAAACAAGTGAGGGAAGGAGAGTGCTTTTTCAAATGTCCTCCGGCAACATTGCTCCTTTCACTGCATTAAACACGTTTATTACTGTGCTACTTTTCCGAGTTGTACTTTCACCAGCTTGTCATCACATCATCAGCCATTGTCAGGTGTGCATTTCCTGCCTAGATTTACAGTCCAGATTCCGCCTCTTGTGCTGCAGCATGCAGTCGGTCCAGAAACCCTGGGCTTATAAAGGGATTTGTTGCAGTATGCTGTTCTTGCCAGTAAACAGGGCTGTTTGTTATAAAAGCCTGCAGGTCCTCACTAGCCGAAGTAAAACTATCTTTCTATTCATAATCATCCTGTGTGGCCAACAGTTTACTGTGTGCAGCCAGCTAGCCAAAGCCCTGCAATTTGGTTTTACTAGGCTGACACAGCTAGAGTGAACAAATGCCCGGTAGAAAACATTTTATGTAGACAAAGCCAATTAAACTAGACGGACTCGGCAATGTTCTGGATTCATAAAGTGCTCAGTTAATGTTGTTACCAACTTTATAAATAAAAAAGTAGGGTAGGGGTCTTGGCTTGATTTTATGCTTCAGGATGTATATACACATCTTAGGTGGACTTTTTTTGTAGTCTTTGTACTGATCAATGTATCTATAGGCGCTTTCACACTGCGGTACTTTTCCCACAAAGGTTCATGTGAACTCTTTAGTTCGCATGAACTAAGTACAGATCGCGTTCACACTGGAAAAAGTCCCTGGGGGAGGATTAGGCAAATGAAGACGCTGACGTCACTTGTTCTTCTTCTGCTTTGGGTTTACTGGCAGGCCGCAAACCACTTCACGGCGTATACTGCCGCCCAAAGTCCCCGGCCGGAAGTCCCCGGAGTTAGGGACTGGCTTCAGTAGAAGCTGCTGGGAGTCCCAGCAGCTTCTACTGAAGCCTTCCGAGTAAATCGCCAGAACGCCGACACCTCCTCATCTCCACCACTCCCATGTTTTATTTTGTGTTGCCATAAGTTAGTCTCTCTGCGTTTCTGCGCTGGGCTAATGCTAATGCTAATAATGCTAATGCGAGGATAATAAAATGGCGGCTTCACAAAACTTTTTGGGAGTTTTGCGGGGCGTGGTTTGCAATCCTTCCAGCCAATCAGAAATATAGCTCTTTTCTCACAAAAGAGCCGCTCGAAAGTCCCTGCTCTCTAACCTTTTTACCCCCACGAAAGTCCCTGCTAGAGAGCAGGGACTTTCGTGGGGGTAAAAAGGTTCACATGAACTAATTTTAGTACCGGCTCTTTTTGGTGTGAACGCGATAAAAGAGTTCACATGAACCTTTGTGGGAAAAGTACCGCAGTGTGAAAGCGCCTTTTGAATGTATGTTATTTTTGCAAGAAAATACATACAGTATGTCCCGATGTATTTTTTCTCATCCATTAAAGGATCAGAGAGAAATACCGTTATTCTACTCATAAATGTCGTTCTCTAAAAATGCACGTCAAGGTAATTTATTTAGAAATGTAAAAAACATCATACAAAAGTATTTGTATTTGGAACTAAATCTAGTGAACATAATGCAGCATTAGCGAGCTACGTGATGTGTTTGATCATATTATGAAGATTTGCGATCGTATAGATTTCAGTGAGAAAATACGTTTTATTTGAAGAAAATAATACAAAGCTCATTAGAAACAAAGGTATCACCCGACCGTGAAAGATAAATAACATTGGAGCTTTGACTCATTTTGACATATTGAAGCTATCTATTGTATATTATTTTTAATACCTATTTTTGTGAACTGTTTTTCAGAGGTGATAGTAATCACCACCAAAGAGGTTCAGAAGATGATGAGCACAGACCCTAAAATGAAGCCTGACGTGAAGATGAAGCTCGATGTGGTATGCATTCAGGAAGATGGAGACATGGGCACCGCAGACGCCCTCAGACACATCCATTCGAAGATCAAGGTGTGTGTTGTTTTGTATATACACATGAGGAGGGTTGACCATATCCTGCCTTGTAGCAAAGGTCATGCCAGTCAAATTCTGTCCAACAGAATCATTTTATAACGGTTTATTTCGCCTTCCGATGTTTCAGATTGGAAGTGGGAATTTTGTTATTAAACCTGCTACAATTATCAAGTTTTTAAGGAAATACGAAAAAGGCCTAGTATGTTGTTTTCAGTTTGAATTACAAAAAAAGCCACATTTTTTTTTCAATTTCTCATGGCTTGTTGATGTAAAGAAAAAAGGGGTTATATTTGTTATCATTGGGTTAGTTTATTAAAGGTCTCCTATAATGCAAAATCCAATTTTGTATGTCTTTATATATAAGTCAGTGTCCAGAATAATAATTAAGAAAATGTTTTTCCTCCAGATCAGTTTTGATCTTGTTTGACATCAATATCAGAAAAACATTAATAAAAACAGTGGCAGTTCTTCAAAAGGTTGAAGTGTTCCAGCATTTAATTAATGATTGTAAACTCATATGACCTTAATTTGAGCAAGATACATTTGTAAATCCGTCTATTACGAAAAACAACTGAGTTTTGCTTCATTATGAGGCGGAAGGGAAGACCCCAACAATGCATTTTACACTCAGATTTACCAATAGATACTGATCTGCAAACCAGTGTTTCAAATGAGAGGGGTCTTTTTCTTTTGTAATGTCGACCCCCTAGAAAAACATTGGGAGAGATTTTGGAGAAGAAAAATGACAAAGAGTGAGGGGGAGGTTCAGGTGGGCGTTGTGTGTTCAGTGACCGCTGATCCGTGCCTTTCCCTCCCCCGACTGGTCAAGGCTGCTGCAGTGCCTCATTTCACCTTTTTAACATACACACACACATGCACCGGCACACGCATTTGCCGACATGGCATCCATGACCCCCAACCCCAATTTCCAGACCCCCCTCTGTATCCTGCCTGCTGATCCCTCCATCCGATGCTCTCTAAACAGATGAGGTCATGGTTAAGACTCAAACTCCCTGTGCTGCCAGTTTACCCAGTGCACCATTTATTCTCATCCTGTAGTCATGCACATCTGTGCAGCATTTGTGCCGGGGTAATGCGGGGTATGTTTCTTCATATCGTCCCTCAGCGTATGGCATGGTTCTGACCGACCTCCTCCTGAGAGCATGAAGACATGTTTGTTTAAGGTTTTATTGTAGTTTGAAACAGGTGATGTATTTCTTAAGCAATTGCTCTTGTTTATTGTTAAGCTATTAAAGATTGCCTAGGGTTGGCTTATATTAGTAGGATTGACTTTTTAGAGCTCTGTACTTATTAGTATAGTTACTGCGATCAAAAAGGACCTTAAGAATCAAAATGATTTCCGCTTTGCATTTTCAAATATCAGAAAAATTGGTGTACGTTTAATATTTTCATTTAATTTAATTTAATCGTTTATTTGAAGAGGTACAGTGCACATTGATGAACATTTAAAACAAATAATGCTTTAAAACGTAAACATGCCGGATTTGAGCTTTAAGCTAATTTCCACCCGTAGTCCGTCACATACAACATTTAAGAACATGACATTTATATCCATAGCAAAAACAAGTACATGATATGCAGGAAGAGCATGAGCAGCATATACAAGTATTTACCACATGGCAGTAGAATGTAGCAGCTACGACATATAAAGTGTAAGAGAAGATACAAGAGCTACATCAAGTGCAAGAGGAGATGCCCCTGTGTTAAAGTGCATTTAGCGGTGATTGCACGTTTGTTTGTTTCTCAACCATTATTTGAGTTGACCTTTAAAGCTATTGAGAGTGGGACGATCCCGTATCTGAGTTGGGAGGCTATTCCACAAAGAGCTGCCTTTAATTGATAGAACATTTTGACCAAAAGTGGTCCGTCTACGATGGACTTCACAGTCTCCTCTGGTTTCTGACCTAGTGCAGCGTCCAGTGTGTTTTTTGTGGATTAATTCCCCTTAGGGAGGGGGGGCCGTGTAAACATTTATAAAAAAAACACATACTTTTAAAAGACTTAAAATGGTCAGAACTCAATAAATTGTGTTTTTCTAGGATAATACAGTGGTGGTATGAATAAGGCTTTCTGTCAAACACCTTGATAGCTCTCTTGTACAGCTGTTCTATGGGTTTCAGGTTTGTGGCACAAGCAAACGACCAGTTTGTAAAACAGTATTCAATGTGGGATAGAATCATACAGTGGAGGTATGACTTTGCCGCATTGACAGTTAAGAAGGGTCTGATTTGTTTAACATTTTGCAAGTTGAATTTAACGGTATTGGATACTTTCTTGATATGTTTCTTAAAATTCAAGTTCGATTCCAGTATGACTCCAAGATACTTGAAGTGGGAGACTAGGTCTATTTCTGATCCGTTTAAAAACACATTGGCTCCTTCAATTTTGACTGGTCGTTTACTGAACATCATGCATACTGTTTTTTTTGCATTTAACTGTAAGCAAATGTTGTTCAGCCAGTGTTGAACCTTGTCCAAAGCATTAGAGAGACAGGATGAGATCATTTCAGTGTTTTTCCCATGTACAAAGATGACCGCATCATCGGCATACATTTGCCCATTCAACTCAGGACATACATTAGGCAAGTCATTAATGTACAGAGAAAACAGTAATGGTCCAAGAATGGAACCTTGTGGAACCCCAACAGGGTTAAACAAGGTAGGGGGATTTGGTGCCGTTGACCAAAACACACTGTTTTCTGTTCGATAAGACTTAACCCAATGTATTGAATCTGCCAAAAAATTGAAATGAGTCAGCTTTGTAAGGAGGTGGTCAACAGTGTCAAAAGCCTTCCTGAGATCAAGGAAGACAACACCTACATAAGGGCTCGTGTCCAACATACATTTAACCTTTTCCACAAATACACAGTTAGCTGTCTCAGTGGAGTGGTGAGCACGAAAACCAAACTGCATTGGTTGGAGTGGAGCGAAACCTTTATCTAAATGTTTGGTGATTAGTTTTGACCCCCATTTCTCTTGGAGACACATGGGAGGATGCTGATTGGTCTATAATTAGACATCATTGCCTTATCCCCAGATTTAAAAATCGCTGATAGATTGATTCACTAGCATAGTAATTGGTTTTATTAGACCGTTAATATTTGTCTTTATAAAGTTGGTGTCTAAATCATTTGCATCCATAGCCTTAGAACCTCTTAACCCTGAGATTATATGTTTTACCTCCACCTCTGTGATTTCCTCCAGGTCAAAAACGGGGTGTGTATCCACAGTCGGGCTATGGGAGATCTCAGATGGCGGGAAGAGCTTTGTGATGTCCAGAGCACTATTTATGAAATACTCATTTAGAGAGTTGGCCAACACTGCAGGGTCTTTTATCAGGGCATCATTGATTTTTAATTCTAGTTATTTATTATTTTCCTGTTTGGTTTACCTAATAGTTTATTTAGGATTTGCCAAACATTTTTACTGTTACCTTTCGCACCTTCAATTATATTGATGAAAAAGTTTGCTTTGGCCTGTCTTATTGTTTGTGTTACCTTGTTACGAGCATGAGTGAATTTCTGTCTGTCAGTGGATAGTCCGGATTTCAAGCTCTGCTTCAATAGTTGGTCTCTAGATTTAATGAGATTCCTGCATTGTAGATTCAGCCAGGGAAGATGATGTTCCTTCCTGTCCCTAAGGCACCCTCTCCTTGAGAAGGAAGACATTGCATCGTTAATTTTAGATATAAACAGATTGCTGTTTTCACCTATGTCTTCAGAGGAGAGAGTGTCTCCCCAATCAATCATTTTCACTACCTCCATAAAACGTTGTTGCAGGTTTTTGGGGATGAAGCGAGAACCGAAGGCAGGGGTTTTAGGTGTGGCCATTATCCTTTTTTTTGTGAGTTTCCTGGCAAAAAGAACAAGATTATGGTCAGAAAGACCAGTCAGGAAGTTGTAGGCTTTAACTATTCTGTCAGCTTTGTTAGTAAATAATAAATCTATCATAGTCTTGGAGGTTTTGGTTATTCTAGTCGGTTGATCCATTAGTTGTATTAGTTGTGTTTATCCATGATCCGTTTTAAGCTCTTTCTATTTTGTTTGTCGTTCCAGTTGATATTAAAGTCTCCTAAAATAATAATATAAGCTCTTTGTTGGAGTCACAGGAATTCAGCATGAGTTTTACCTGATCATAGAAATCCACCTTAGCGGTGGGTTGTCGATACAGGCAAATCATGGTGAGGGACATTTCCTCAGATAGTTTGATTTCCACACCAACACAATCAAATTCAATATTATCTGGGAGAGCAATCTCTCTACAAGTAAAGGTATTCCTCACGTAAAGCAGCACACCCCCTCCTTTTCCCGTCAGTCTGTCCTTCCTAAACACATTATATCCCATTTTTAGTATAATTACAAAGACAAGTCTAATCAAGAAAGTCAATTTTGGATGCTTATTCTATTTAATTATCTCCTGGGTAGATGTTTTCAGAAAAATTCTGGCAGTTCTCCACAGTTACATTAAATATACAGTCCTCGGATTAAAACCTTTTACATGTTTTTCTCAAAGATCAATTTTTGTTTTTGTTTTGAAAAACTCTCATGGATTCCCACACCCAACATTCTCAGTTGAAATATCTCTGAAATGTTCTTCCAGATAGCTTGTCTATTAAGAGCGTACCACATCAAACGTTCATTTGAAAACACAAGTGTCCTGACACGGCAGCTCATTAAATTCTTCACAGAAAATTCAATCGGCTTTGCTTTTGAACGCAGATATAGCAGAGACTTAAATCCAAATGTTGTTGTGACAAGTACTTTTAATGTTTTTTAACCTGGCATTTGAATGAGCCTGTACAGATTCATTATTCTCTTTTGATAGAGCCATATGTAACACACACACACACACACACACACACACACACACACACACACACACACACACACACACACACACACACACACACACACACACGCTCAAACAGGACTAGCTTCGGCATGCTCCCATTGAGAATAGTCGAGTCCTTAATCCTTTGAGCAGCCAGCTAGATTAGAGGCATTGAGTTACACACACTCACACACTGGAGAGTGCTGAGTGAGGAACTGTAACCATGGTCTGCCAAATCCCAGCACAGAGATCACTCAAACTGTCAAACTGAAGCATGAGTACAGTATAGACACACACACTCACTCATCTCTTTACACAAACACCCTCCCATGAGGGGATTTGGTGTAACCTATCAAACAAAATGCTTACAGGAACCCGTGTGCACTGTGGGTGAGCAGAGCAGGTCATCCCTCTTCATTTCTGAAAAGAGAGATTACAAGCAGCATATTTTATTTTGTTCACTCTTCAAACAGCTAAGTTGCACAAAAGTGCGGGGATGTGCCTGATTTATGTCTTGGGTCTTTCACAATAAGCCTAACTACTGGAAAGAGTACTTCACATTAACTTTTTGCTTTGTGTGCTTAAAGCCACTTTGACATTTGTTTTATTATTCAGGCTTAATCACCTGGCAGGATGAGTGCATGCAGGCTAGAATTACTGTAAATTGAATGGTGGTGCAGATTCAAAGGTACACCTTGGGTCTACATGTGTTAGTCAGCCTGTAAGACTAAAGACAAAAGGTGAAAAGAGAGAGAAGAGTGAGAGATGGAGCTCAGGCTTTTCATATAAGAGGGACTCGGCAAACATACTCTGATGAGACATGTTTCCTTTTGATTTATTTCTCTCTTTTAACCATCTTGCTCTCTATCTCCAACCCCATCCCTCCTTTTCTTCCTTCCTGTGACGCACAATATTTAAAATGTCCTACTCAGAATATGTTGTGTCAGGACACGGTTTGGACACAGTTAAATGTTGAAAAAGTGATCTGCATTACACAATGGATCAGAAGGTTGTGAAATGGACTAGTTTGCTAAGGACTTAAAAGAATAATGAAATAAGAGAAGATTGTAAGGGCTCCATAATGGAAACCATCCTAAAATGCATGGTCATTTCATTTGTTTATTCCTCTTTAAATACTGTTGATTGAGTTTATATATATATTGAACAGGTTTTGTACAAGGGGATATGTTACCGTTGACGTAACTTGCTCACATCATCCAACCAAAAAAGTACGAATAAATCAGGTCGAGTTAAACCAACCATGTAGACATGATCTATTATTTGATTTGATTTGATGATGTAAAACAACACAAAGGACACACACACCATAACTCAAAAGTTTCCAAGTATTGGAAAAGTGGGTTGTGTAAGCAGTAGCTCTGGACCAGTGGGAAAGTGTGTGTCTCTGTGTGTGGTAGCGTGCATCAGTGTGTGTGGTCCTGACCTGTCCAGAGATTCTGGCTGTTGAAAGGCCAAAGTGTCTCTGTCTCTCCAGCTGACTCCACTCTGCTGTCGCCTGACTGTGTGTGCCTGTGTGTGGTTTGTGTATGTTTTTGTGTGTGTGGGTTGATGTGTGCGCGCATACTTGTGTGCTCTGTTTCTGAACATGTGTGCGAGCTTGCCTGTGTGTGATAGAGGGAGGAGAGAGTTGAAAGGTCTCTGCCTCTCAGTGTCAGCAGATCTCTGGCAGACACCTCCAGCTTTGCCGCGGCAGCTTCCTGTCGCCAGGTCCAGACCAGGTTATGCTGGGAGTTACCTGGAGGTCAACTACATGACCCCTGACCTCACTGATACAGCCCTTTACACACACACACACACACACACACACACACACACACACAAAACATTACACAAAACTCCACACAAAACTCTACACAGCTCCTCAACATTCACAGTGCTCATTACTTATACTCATTACAAATCATTTCTTTAATCCATTGTAGTTTCCCCAACCCTTAATCCTCATTTACAAGTGTTTAATAAAGCGATACAAATGGGTTAAATTGCGCTTAAAGTTAACTCCTGATTTTTTAAAGATTATAATTATCAGACATTTTAGGAATCTAGATTATGAATGTACAAAACTGAGTTTGTGTTTTCTTTGTTTGTTTATTTATTTGTATGTGGTACATTCAGTGTTTGACAGTATGTTGTTGACTGATGACCTCCCATCATCCCTTTTCTCTCGAGTCTTTCCTTCCTCCCTTCTATCGTTGTTTTTTTTATACCTCCGATGATCCTTTTTTCTCTTTCTTTGTTTTTGAAAGTGGTTGTCGACTTTTCGCTCCTGGGATTTTCTTTGTTATTCTCTCACTCTTTATTTTCCTTCTTTCCACTGTCAAAGACACAGTAAAGATGTCTCTGTCGTTACTGCGGCTGGTGCTAATGGTGGGATTAGTTCTTATGCTGACAGCCTTCATCACTGGACAGACAGATGGATGCTGTGCACACACACACACACACACACACACACACACACACACACACACACACACACACACACACACACACACACACACACACACACACACACACACACACACACACACACACACACACACACACACACACGCAGACATGTATCGTCCATGGAGGCCAGTTAATAGGATTGATGTCTGTCTTGTGGTCTGTGTCGTTGGTGGTAAAGTAAGGGATACGTCTATGGAATTCATAAGCTATACATTGAGATACTTTTTAAAACCTAGATTGGTTTACATATTATTGCATAGCTGGGATGCTGTAAATAGTTTGGACTTAATCTCTGGAGGGTAAAATGCTAAAACATATTCTTTTGCTGTCTTTCCTAACAAATGATTAGGGTTTGGTTGGGTTGTTTGCATTCATTTCTGTGTTATGTTACTCGGCATATAGCGACATTTATGCAGCTAAAGGGTGATAAAGCAACTCGTATTCAAACTTTTTATAATAAAGCTCACTTTAAAACACAAGAAGCAGGATTTATTACTTGCTGTCATCAGGGTATAAGTCATTTTAACGCACGCACGCACGCGTGAGTGTGTGTGTGGCTTTGGCTTGTACACAGTCAGTGCTAAAGTTGGAAGAGTTCACTGTTGATCATGACCAGATATTTCTTCATCCCCTTCTCTCTCTGTCTGTCTCTCTATTTGTCTCACAATGCTGCTCTGAGCCAGTTTCTGTTGTGAATATTGAGAACAACACAGTCCAACCTCTTGTGTCCTGAGGTGTTTATGTGGAGCATTGTTGCCACATGTATTTATGTGTAGTCTAGGTGCATGCCAGAATGACTGTCGTGAGCCAGAAAACCTCACTTTATAAACATGACTCGCTCTTCAATCTACATATCATGCATTTTGGTGTTTTAGGGGCTTGTGAGTTTGTGCGTTTGCAAGCCGGGGTTACATTGTAAAAATCTATAAAAGCCTGAAATATCCAATACAAAATGTTGATTCTGTCATCTCATACAGGAACATAAGTGGAATGAATGTCAGTCTAATTTGACTTTCTTTGTCTTTTCAACTTCCTTCTTTAGACGGACGTCCTGGTGGTGAGCTGTGACCTGATAACGGACGTGGCGCTACACGAAGTAGTTGATCTTTTCAGAGCCCACAATGCAACACTGGCCATGCTGATGAGAAAAGCCCATGAATTCACAGAGACCATCCCAGGCCAGAAGGGCAAGAAAAAGACAGGTAACATGAACACCCAATTAGGGTTAATTTCGTCAGCTATTTTTTTATTTAGTTTTAGTCTTACTCCTGTGTTAAATTTCCTTTTTAGTTTTAGTCATATTTAGTCACCTTCATCCTGTTGTTATTTAGTCAAGTTTTAGTCGACTAAAAGTCTGAGCATTTTAGTCTTATTTTAGTCAAAGCAAACTAATTATTTTAGTCTACTTTTTGTCAATGAAAACTGTTGAGTATTTTTTAGTCATCAGATTATATAGAACATTTCAGTCAAACTAGTCTAGCCAAAACCAATAATTTGTCATTTTAGTCAAACGTATTTCACAATAAGATTATATCTTGTCCTTATTTGATGAAAACCACAGGTTGAATGATTAAGAAGCTTTGCAGAGAGTATCTGCTCAGGTTTGTGGTGTTTTTGTGTTATGGCCACATTGCTTCCCTTCTGATAAAACGATGCATTTGCTTTTTTCCTCCGCCTCATTATAGCGAAAATGGGCCCAAATATCACGTTGTTTCTTTCTCCCAAGCAGTGGTGGCTTCAGACTTTTTCGTTGTCAGTCATTTTGACGGACAGGATCGTAACATTTCCGTCATAATCCATTATTACCCGTCGAGTGCACAATTTATCCCTCACTCGCGCTGACGGGGGGGTATTCGGTTAACGCGAGTGCGACCACTGCTCCCAAGCCCTGTTGTTGCCATTTCATTTTCTGTTAAATAAGGTTAGTTAGACCATGAGTTAGACCCGAGTCTTCCTGACAGTTCATATTGTGCCGCTGCCCGGTGTAATTCAAATGTACCGCCGCGCGCAGCACACACACACAGCTGCTGCCCAGCCGCAGCCCCGGAAATGGAACTGCTGGGAGACCGACTATCAGAGATGTAACGTTATCTTTGATAATATTTCGTCTCCTCATTTTTCGTCAACGAAAGTAAAGAGAGATTTTGGCATAGTTTTTATTTAGCAAACTACATTTTCGTCTCATCACTTTTCGTCAACGATATTGCATGTTGATTTCGTTAGTTATTGTTTACTGCCGTCGGTGCCGTCTCGTCATCGTCTCGTTTTCGTCATGGAAAAAAAGGTCGTTGACGAACATATTTCGTCATAGTTGTAGTCAACGAAATTAACACTACACCCAATCACGAGAGAGGAGACTTTGCATAGACTGTAAACAAGACATTTGTGACATGTTTCTGATATGATTATATGTTTTTATTTCAGTGAGTAATGCAAGAAATAAAGGAAACGGTCTTCTTTAAAAATAACACAAATGTTGTATAAAATTGATAAATGTGTCAAAACTGTTAGCATACATATTTTGGTGTTAACATTAAATATTGTATTCATTTCCCAGCTGAACAGAGGGACTTTGTGGGAGTGGATGAGTCGGGGGAGAGGCTGCTGTTCATGGCCAATGAGGCAGATCTGGAGGACGGACTCTCTATCAGGAAGTCCATCATGAGGAAGTAAGTCATTTAAAAAAAAGTCTAGAGAGTGGGTTTATCCAAATGACATAATAATATTTCTTTGTTTTTTTTACCTCTAGTTGTATACAGTTTATATCCATGCAGATAAATTGTTTAATGTGTACAGGTTTTTAGATATCCATCTCTAAGGCATCTTTTTCCACCACACCACATTGTAGGTAAATTGAAGAAATATTGACAAATAGAAATTTAAAAGATAGTCTTTTTGTTTCTGTTCTGTCTGTTGGTTTTTCGTTTTTTGAGTCCCAAAATTCATGTATGTGTGACAGCGGGTGTTTTGGGAGCTCGTAAATACTTCATGGAGCCAAAGCCAATGTAAATTCTGGCCAATAAGAGGGGGGCCGGAGCAGCTGCTTGCATGCTTCCCTGCACATAGAAATGTTCACACACACACACACACACACACACACGCACACGCACACGCACACGCACACGCGCACACACACAGACAAATGCCTATATGAACAGAAAGGCGTAACACGACCTTGAGGTAGACATTGATGGAGAGAAAACACTGACACATTGTCGTCAGAGTTATGGAAACACGAGCCCGCTGCTAAACATGTATTGCTTACATTGAAGGACACATAACCTTTATATATCCTCTGATCAGTTATACAAACTCATGTCACACTACATGTACTATATGAAACAAATGTCCCCAAATCTCTCCACATACTTGATTACCGCCCAAGGTAATACCCGAATAAATTCCAGGATTTTTACAACCCACCGTTGGGTAGATTTTTACAAGATTTGACTGTTTTGCACATCAGTACCATCCAGTCAAAGGTCACTTCGTCATGGCACATCGCGCGCACACTGCAGGTGCCTTCCTTTATATTTCGGTATTTTCCATGTGCACATAGTCTCATTCATAAATCCTTTGTGCTCACCAGTTGAATTTGATCTTTTGCTAAAAGAGTAAATACATTGTTGGTCTCAAATTCCAGAATTGTTTTTGTACTTCTGTCAATTCTATCATCCTTGTTCGAAATTAAATCTCAAAACAATATTTTTTGCTTTTTACATTTTAAATAATACTATTTTCCTCTATATCTCCTCAGCACTTTTTTACTTTGTGCTTACCAGGGTCCCCGCAGATCCTTAAAAAGTCTTACATTTATTTTGTGATATTCAAGGTCTAAACATTTCTAAAAAGGTCTGGAATTTTAGGAGGGAGGTATTAAATGTTATCTGGGGCAGAATGAATGAGTGTGCAGGGGGGGATATTGGTTTCCATTGGTCTACTGCCATACCATTTTTCTTTTTTTTAATGCGAAGGCAGTCCTGTTGGGTAATGTGCACTGAATATTTCCCGTTATTCAAATGCAATACAACTCAGTAACGGTTTATACTGTTGTCTAGTTCGTCGATTTTTTTGTATTGGTACTCTCTTTTCCTTTTAGAGGTCTTAAAAAGGTCTTAAAAGTCATTCAATGTGTACTTCACAAATGTGCAGCTACCCTGGCTTACGAAGCGTTCACAGCACAGACCCTTCAAAATATTGTTTCTTATTTGTATTCTGTCCAATTTAAAAGACAGTGTTGTTTTTCTCTCCAGCTATATTCTCTCAGCCATTTCTCCCTTATACTGTGCACCCTTCCATACAAGTCCATCCATTTTTTCCTCCAATCCGTCCTTCCTGTGTCTTTCTTTCTGGTCTTTCTTTACTGCTTCCATATGGTTGAGGTGTGTTAGCTGCAAACATTCTGCACATGTGAGATGACTGACCTGGAAATCTCTTTCCCGGGTGAAAGGACTCCAGCAGAGCTTCCCCTCGTACATTACAGACTAACCTGTCAGGGGCTCGTGGCCTGGAAGAATAGTTGACTGCATGTTGATAGGCAAATTCAACATTTAAAATTGTTAGCATCAAGAGCAATATTCAATAAAAGCCATTGTTAGTGCAGTGTAATAAGTTAGAATAAAACTCATCCACTCTTTTTCCATCATTATTAAAACATCCATGCAGTCAAGCTAGAAAAGCTTGCTTCACATTTTTGAGTAGCATGTCTTAACTTCTCTGACCTTTTTAAGATACTGGACCAGGAGTTTACTTGCATCTGTTAGCAATGATGGCACAAGACGCAGCGGATAAAACCCACCCAATCAACACAAATACCACATGTTATACCTTCCAAACATTTAATAACTTCCATTGCAGTTCAACAAAAGGACAGCGTAATAACATATTTTACAAACAAAATACATTTCCAACAGTTTTATAGCCAACATTGTATATTTTATAATGTAGCACAACCCTATGTACTGCACCTAAATGTTCCAAGTACCATAAATATATACGCTTGTAATGTCCATATAGCCAAGGGTTAAAGCCATGAGTTAGTAAATTATAGATTGTGTGTAAGCATCTGCTTTATTGTTTTTCAATATGTCTTAACTTGCTGGTTCGTAATAGTAGAACCTCTGGATAATTTGGGCAGGCTTTGAATCAAATGCTGGCACACGTGTCAGTCTGGTTTTAATTGACCTTTTGGATATTTCGTTAAAAAAATGATTACTCGATAAATACATTTGTCGGTTGGCAGGAAATGATGGTAACTGTTTTGATCATTGATTCATTTGTCATCCGTCAAACAAAAAAGGATGCACATGCTAGTTGCAGCTATTCCAATATGAAGAATTGCTGATTTTCTTAGTTTCATATCATGCCCATTCGATTGCATCTATTTGCTAAATATTAGTTTGAAATAAATGCCATTTTATGACCTGATTTTGAAAAACAATTCACATTCTGAATTTTAAAGACTTAATAGGATGTGTCTATAATCTAATGTACTCAATGTGCTGGTCAGTCGTTAACACTAACCTTAATCCACCAGCAGGTCTGTGTGCAGTTTATAACACAGGTTCAAATATGTGAGTCAGCTCAATTAAAGAATCCTCTCTCAGACTAGCATGGTATTAGGAAATCACACACATTGTATTCTGGAAGCGATAGTTCCTTGAATAAGTCGTAAGCTCTTGAGCCCAATTGGCTCTGTAGTGGAAACCTGACTAATGAGGGTATTAACAGTCATTCTGCTGCGTCTGAGTCATCGTCCGCTGTGGGCTTTTAGTTGTAACTAAATAACACATTATGCTGTGTGTGTGTGTTTGAGAGCGAGAGAGATGTGACTCCTCTCTCCCACTGAGGACTGTGGTGGTACTTTAGTAGTCCCTCATTAATCCAAGGGTTGAGTCATCTCGCCTGCAGAGGCACTAAATTCCTGCTCCCATCGACACAGAGCTCTATTGCACTCACAGCAACCAGAGATCACATGATGATGCTGGAAAGGAAAGATGTTTACCCTTATTTTGGAAATGCAAGATGTTTGTTGTAGTTGGACTCTGCAAGAAGTATATACTATTAAAGTTGCGTTTGGCCAGTGTTCAGTGTTTTGAAACACAAGGACGAGTTCCAACAGTGAATCGTTTCTTGATTTAGAAAATGCCGCTTGAGCAGATGTTGGTACAGGACAGGTAGTTTAGGATTGTTGATAAGGAGGGTACAGAATTTGGTGTTATGAAAAACATCCATCAGCCATCCTAGAAGCGACACATTGCATTTGAAATTGGTGATCCCTTTCTTTTTAACCTCTTTTCAATGAAAAACGTGTTTTGGTTTTACTAGTTGACTCATATGTTCTTCGGTTATATTTCTGTAAAATAAAAGGGCGTAGGTTTTCCTAGTATAAGAATGAATAAAACATTAAAGCACCACGTTTATGTCGGTGCAAGTAGGGCCAGTGTTTGTGTTTTCCTGACCCTGAATGATGTGTTCCATGCTCAGCTAGGGGATGGTTGTAATGTGGAGGTAATAGTATTGTGAAGAAATGTTGTCTTTTGTTGGTAAATCTGTCATACTTAGGTATTTGAATGAGTATAATGTCTAATCACCCCACCGTCTAAGGCAGTGGTTCCCAACCTTTTTTCCCAAGAGCCCCCCCAAATGACTCCTGTTAGAAGTTGCGCCCCCCCCCAAATATGATGTTTGGCCTCAAATCATCTGAGGCCTGGCGCCCCCCCCCCCCCCCCCTGCGATCTTTGGCGCCCTCCCAAAACAGGGTGTGGCATAGTGTCAAATGAAATGTTTGTTTGCTGTCGGTTTCCATTTTTTTCTGCATCACAATGTCCCATTAATAGTTTTGGTTGCTATGCCATCTTTCCGCAGTGGCGTCTGCCTAGCATGAAATAACGAGGGCTTCTGCTGAAGTCAAAATGAAAGAGTCCTTTACGTCCCTTATACCTGTTCTTGACCAATCGGCCCCTCACTCATAAGGGCACCTGTTCCTACTCTTGCTCGCTCTTTCTCCCCCTGGTTCTCTCTCCTGCCCACCCGCAGGTGCCGAACAGTCACATGTCACATGCTGGGTGTTCCCATAAATTCCACTTTAAGCCCACTATACACAGACGCAGGCACACACCTGGAAAATGTTTTATGAATAAATACATTTGACAAACACCCACAGAGCGTGTCTGTGCGTGCAGGCACATGTGCTTTTATGCTTTTTAATAAAATAGCTTAACACAGACGGACACACACCGTTTGATTTATGGCTTTCAGCATCTGGTTGTAAAATATGTGTGACCAGGCAATCCTCCTGAGTCACTCTGGTTATACTGCAGGAGAGAGTAGAAAGAAGAATTGTCCTTTTTGATGAAAGATAGAGGAAGGAAATTAGCAGAGAAGAGGTAGAAGAACGGAAATATAACGTTTTTGGCATCATCCGCTTTTTATAAAATATCAAGCCATTTTTTATATCCTACCTTGAATCCCTGCAGACATTTTGTTTGACATTTATTCATTCATATTGCCAATATTGCATTATCAACTTCTTCAATTTAACTTTACGTAAAGTACAATCATTTCTTTCTTGAATATCATTTGTTTGTTTAGGTAGAACATCCTTTAAATACACAATGTAACTTTGTTAAACCAGTGCTGGTGACTCTGGTTAAAAGCAGAACAAACCCCCACCAACAACTAGAGGAACATTAGAGAAAACTTGAGTGTTTCTGGAACTTAACAATAAGTATACAAACAGGCAAAACATGTAAGTAAAGCTTTTTATTTGAGTGGGAAAACATAAATGCAGATTCATTTAAAGCTTGATGGATCAAATATACCGTTTTGGCTAGCACACAAATGCTCTTAAACTTTTAAATGATAAATGATTGTGCTCAGATATGAACACCACTAAACAGTCAACATCCTGTCTGCCTTTATCTGGTCCAAGTTACGATTTGGTTGTGTGGTAATGAGACACAGACTGTTCATATTAATCTGCTTTTACAATTTAGAGAATCTAAATCACAGCAGCATGCTTTACAAATGGTTGGCAGTAATGGAAGGTGTATGATATGGGGTAAATGGACTAAAACACGTCGAAGCACTTGTATGATCCTTTTAGGCACAATGCTCCCTGCCGTTTTTATTATGTAATAATTGAAAGGGAAGAGGAAGATGAGGATAGGTCAGAGGGGATGAAGGGGTGTGTGGATTTGTTTATTGAAACCTGGTCGATGAAATGGTTTTCTTTGGCTCTCGCTTCGTAAATGTCACATGTTCAAACTGTGTGTGTGTGTGTGAGTGTGTGTGAATGACTGAATGCATGGTGGGTGACGGTGTGTCTGTGTGCATGTGGCCCCCCAACATAAACCTGTCTCATGGCAGCAGCTCTGCTGGGCCACATCTACGGTAGCTGACAGAGGACAATAGACAGATGTCACTATTCTTTGACTTTTATGTGAGCCTGTAGCTGTGTCTGCTTTGTATCAAATGTTCCTGTCTGATGTGCAAAGCAGCGGTAAATAAAATAGCTTTCGGTAAATGAGAAGCAAAGTCAAAACATAAAAACAGCAGGTGATAAAGGAAATAAAGCAAATTGTCCTCAAAGTAGTACCAGCAGCGGTTCACTGTTTGTCATGAAGTTGGTACTATACATGTTTGCAGTGCATTTGAACTCTAATAATAATCTGTTTAATTTGTACAGATTTAGTGTTTTAAAATGGTTTTTTGAGTGCTTTGAGTTTTCGCAAAGCAACGTATCATGAAGATTAAAGAAAAATGTGTTTTTATTTTCCTGTCTTGACTGTGTTTGTCTTTGTGTCTGTCTTACCTGCAGACATCCCAGGATGCACATTAAAACTGGCCTCGTGGACGCTCACCTCTACTGCCTGAAGAAAGAAGTGTTGGACTTTCTTGCTGACAACAAGTGAGTGATTATACAACTGAACTTACAATTACACAATTGCCTATCAAAGTGTTCTTTTTTTTTTGTGACCAGTTTATATCCGCAATGTTACTCAATGTGTCTAGATGAACCCACGCGGTCCAACAGAGATTCACATTAGCTGCTTAATCTGTAGCAAGTGTTAAACGTGGTAACATGGTGTGTAAGGCTTTGAAAGGACCTGTTAGCAGGGTATTCTAGCGAGGTGTTAATTTGTTTTACTATGTGCCACAGAGACAGGCTGTTAGGCCTTTAGCCTCTGAAGTGAAGCAGTGTCACAGAAAGCCCTCTGTGGCCGCCCGGGCCATACTGGTTATACGGGTTCACTGGTTACAAGAATCAAAGGATCTATATGATAAGAATGCTTTAAACTGCTGTGTAATCTCCAAAGTAAAAGTGATAATGTAGTGTTTGAAGGCAGCATGAGTGTTTAAGGAACATTAATGGAGCCACTTCACTCCATGTCGATTAATAAGCCTTCAAATGATATTGCTAAAACACTGCACTGTGTATTTATACATTGCTTGTATCGCAAAACCTTGTGCCAAACCCACATGAAATACTGAAATGTTAAAAGCATGTTTTGCCTGAGGATTTCTTACTTATCTTTTCCAGTTAGCATTAATAATATAACGTTTTTTTGGCACACTTGAGGAGGAGATCTGAGGCAGCATTAAAAGCCTGATATAAAGCATGCTTGATGATGACAGGGGTCTAGATAAAGATTCATAACAGACAAGGATGTGAGCTAAGTAACAGCATGGCGCCAAGCTTCTTAAAACAGGGTGGTGGTGATCCTGAACATTTTTTGGAAATGGTCCCATTAAAAAGTGAGTACTTGGCTAAAGGGTGATTTGTGGAAATCTGGCATTGCTTAGTTGTGTCTAAGAAATATGTTAAAAGGCTAGTTTAAGTTGTCCAGTTTAGGTTGACGCATAAATAAATCAAAATCCAAGCCAACAAATACAAATCGCTCCACACTCATCATTTCACCTCTGCTGAACACTCATGGTTAAGGCTTCAAGATGAACTTCAATATTGTAATTTACCAAAGAGATGTAGATGTAAGTGTTACATCATTACATCACTCGTGCTGCCGCCATATATCATCTCTCTTGTTAGATGACTCATTTCTTTCTTCAACTCTTTTCTTGGACTTTCTTTTAACAGCTCCTCTCTCTCTCCTCCATGCTCTTTCTCCGTCTCTTGCTCAAGGAGAGAAATGGACAGAGTAACTGTTGTTTTTCTCCTGTCATTCAGATGGAAATTCTAATCTCCCTTTTAAAAGAAAGTAAGAGAGGGCAAGTGAAAGGAGGGGTGGGGGGGGGGGGAACACTAAGCACAGCACATTGCAAAGAGGAGGAAAAAGAAAGGAAGACGGGGAAATGACCTCATAGTTTACGAAGGGAGAGACTTGAAGTCATCATAAGAAGCTGAAGTGCTAATTTTCATTTCCTGTTTTTTACAAGATTTTAGTTCAGTAACAATAACTGCATTATACATTCATTGTATTTATTTCCATTACAGCCTTTTAAATGAGTTTTTTTTTTGCTTTTACTAACAATCAACTCAATTATAGTAATGATATGTATGCAGTAGTTGACTTCCTGTTTGCAATGAAACTAAAAGTCGTTAAGATTTCACAGTCACTGCTGTAAAGATAATCGAGATATGCACCTACTTATTGTCCCCAGGAGAAATGCTCAGACCTCATTACTAGATGCATTTTTTACCAAGTCTGACGTAGTTAAATTACCCTCCTAAAGTCATTAGTCCTGTGGATTTGACATGTTGTGTGCGAACTTGAACTGCAGAAGTTAAACATATTTCTTTCTTTAAGTAGTTTCAGTTTCTGGCACAACCTTGGCCTTCTCCTCAGATGCTGAGCACAAATGGCTGCAAAGCAAGAGGAAGTGATTACCGATCGCATTCGCTGTATTTTGCAATTATGTGACTGCACGGAGATTGCGGAGTCACATAATTGCAAGGTTACAGAAAATGTGTTAACTATCACAGCTGTCTTTCCCTATTTTTTACCTAAGGATACAGGAAGGAGCTTCCTCACAAACTCATCTTCTCGTATTTTACTCGGTTGCACTTTATTCACCAATTGATGACTGGGAAGTGCACCCTTATCTAATGACAGCACAATAAACCAGGATCCTTGTCTTATGTGTTGGCTTATGTGAAATAGTTCTGTTTTGTTGGATGTTTGACATCATATTGAAATCGTATTTAACCTCTTCTTGGATCGTAGGTCCATCTCTTCAATCCGTGGAGAGCTGGTACCTTATTTGGTGCGGAAGCAGTTTTCCAAAACCATCAACTGTCCAAATATCAAAGATGACGCAGATGATCAGAATCTAAAAACGAAAGACGGCTCTTCAAACCAGGGTGAGTTACACATCAGAAATGCACTGTAAAACCTATTTAGAAGAGCTCTGGGACGTATTCACTGGTCTTAAGCTATTTCATGTAAGCTATCAGCTATGTATTTAACTTGGTGACACAAAGGACAACTCTGGCTAATCCAAAGACATGCATTCTCTTGCACTATTTGATCTGTTTTATTCCTTTTTTGTCATATATTCATGTTGCGCTGTTGGAGGAGCCTGTGACTTACATTTTTCATTGCCATATCTACACTGTAGCTACTGTGCACATGACAATAAAGCCTTGAATTGAATTGAATCCCCCAAACAATGTGTTTGTGTTATCATTTACACTCATGACTTTTTTTTTTTAATACCCAGAGCTCCTCATCTCCTCCCGAGACGAGCCCCTTCTCCAGCTGGCTCAGGAGCGCTCCTGTTGGAACGACCACCGCGGCGACATGAGCGCGGCTTACCACGGAGGAAAGCTCCGCTGCTACGTTCACATTATGGACGAGGGACTTTGCTACCGCGTCAACACTTTAGCTGCTTACATAGATACAAACCGATTGGTGAGTCTGACGTGAGCTTGCTCCTACAAAGGGATTTTGTTTATTTCTTTTTTGAATGTCCATGTAGATACTAAGTTCATATGAAATTGAGTTTGTTGGAGGGAAATTCAGAGTATCTTTTCAAATAGGCAAATATACCAAACATTCTCTGGTTGCAGTGAATGCCATTTTCCCACAAATACTGTACATTAATCAAGAAATGAATCTGCAGATGAGTTGATCATAAAACAATAAAGTGTCCTCTTCTAGCAGTCTTATTCCTTTCATTGTTGTAGATGTCACTGTTTTTCTTATTTCACCTAATGTCGCTTTGCTTTTGCCACTTATAATGAATTGTATGCTTATTTGAATGCTGTGTATTTGGCCCAGTTCCTACAGATTGATCATAGAGGTTATTTATTTACCTTTCTTTATTTTAATCCCATGCTTCCCTTTCTTTTTTTTTTACAAGGCCCCCAAGCTGTTTGACGAGCCAGCCGTCCACTCCACTGCTGTCATTTCTGAGAGATGTCAGGTTAGTGTAATGCAGTAGAAGTATCACAGTCGATACATTACACACATTTCTCACTTAGTAAGCAGTTTTCCTAATTGGCCTGTATTAGATCTCACTTGCTTTTATTGATCTCATACTCTAATTCACACTTGATCCCCTTTAGAGAGGCCTGTGTATGTAATTATGTCTGAGTAATGTTTTTTTTAAACTGTTGTGTCCTCTCTGCCCTCAGATGGGATCAGACAGCATCATCGGAGCAATGTGCCAGGTAGCAGACAAGACTTCCATAAAGAGGTCGACCATCGGAAACTCCACCATTGTAAAAGAAAAGGTCAAAGTCACCAACTCTATCATCATGCACGGGGTTACCATCGAGGAGGGGTGAGAACACACACATTTGTACATGCACACACTCGTTGATAACATGTCCTTTGAAGTGCGAACACATTCATTTAGCCTGAAAAAAACGTTCACCTTCGAGGCATGTTTATGAATACAAGTTTTGATCTTCACTTTTGATCTTTTGTAAGGTGTTCAGTTATGCAGTGTGTGACAAAGCAGGAATTTAGTAAACAAAGATTTTAAAATGAGATAAGTGATAGTGTTTCCAGGAAAAATAACTATCCTAAACACCAATACACTTTTCCCTCTTTGTTAACAGTTCACTGTTCACATATAAAAGCAGTGGTAGGCCTCATTCTTTACTCCCTGCATAGCTCTCCATTGAACTTCTACGTGCTTCTATGTGCAAACGTGGGTGTGTGTCGGGCAGATGCTGGTGGATGTGTGTGTCCGTTGATGGGAGGTGTAACAGGTTTTGTTTTCCGTGCTCTATGGGGTCAAACAGGCAGCGCTGAGCTAACAATGCTTCTATTGGTGTGCAACCAGCCAGAGACCAGTTCCAAACAAACACGAAGCTGTTGAACTGAAACACAGAACATCAATATATTTTATTTAGCCGCTAATTTACTCGCCTATACCAATGTTCCCACTGGTTATGACATTCGCTGAGCACCATGGGGGTTTGACAGGTGATTTCCAAACATCCAATATCCGGGTTTTTTGATAATTCGTTTAGGAAGTAACAGCATTGGACTGATAAATATATCCATTTCATCAATTCGATCTAATCAAACACCAGAGAATGTTTCGATTTCAATCCGTTACGTCATTTATTACGTTTACATGCAGGTTAGTTTTCCTGCTTTTTCCTATTTTCATTTGCTTTTAGGTTGGCTACATAATATTTAGACCAAAATATTTAAAACCAAAAGTTTTCTCTATGGCAGCCCCATTGAATCAAATGATAATATTCTTGTACACCTTTTTGCACTCGACATATTTGGTATTCTACAAAGCTTTGGGTTTTTAAAATTGGAAATAAAGTTGAAGCAGATTTCAGAAAAATATGGCATTAGATTTGTTTTAGTATAAATGTTAAAGTTTGAATTGTTGGGCTCTTTGTTAATGTTGCTTTACAGAAAACAAGCTACCAAATGATTTGCTAAAAGTTCCAGTAATGTGCTGGTTTCCATTTTGAAAATCAACACTAGGAACTATTGCATCTTCTTTTAAACAAAAAATCTACCTGATGAACCAGGAAGGATTTTCAACTGCAAATGTGGTGAGGAAGCCTGGGCAAGACATAGGAAGGACAAAAAGGCCCAGTCTGAATAGTGATGCATCATGATCAGCCGCGTTATCGCACATCACGATTGTTGAATGTAGCAAGTACTTAAAGCGGTCCAAATTGACTGTTTTGTTGCTCCAAAAGAGGATTTGCACAGAAAGCACAGTATCCACTGTAGAATTAGCATGTAGATTGATCTGCTCAGGGTCTGAGCCAGAAACCCCCGGAGGAAAGAGACTCATCTTGGCCTCCAGTCGGGATTTTAATGCACTCACTCATGGGCTCCTTTTCTTTTATCTCAATTTCTTACTCCTCCCTCTCTTTTCTCTCCATCAAGGCCTCAACGCCATCTCTTCTCTCTCTTTCTGTCTCTCTCCATTTCTTCTTAAGCCTTTCAGGGACCCCAGCCAGCCAGCATGGGGACCCTCATCATGTCCATGTAGGTGCACGCACAAAGGCATGAAAGAACGAGAGAGATGGGAGAAGGGAAGAAAGAAGCGAGGGGAAAGCAAGCTAGCACGCAAGAAAGAAATTGCAATTCTTTCTTTCCTTTTTCTTTTTTTGGAGGACATAAGAAGGAAGGAGAAAGAAAGAAAGAAAGAAAGAGCCAGTGTGAGGGGATTAGCAGACCCCGGCCATGTCGCAGAAACCCTCGCATTTCTGCTCTCTTTGTTTGGAGCTGACCAGAACTTGTTGACAAAGCGCTGCGTGTTTGGGAAGGGGGATAGTAAGGGTCAACTTTACAGGGGGGTTGGCACAGGAGGTGTGTGTGTGTGTGTGTGTGTGTGTGTGTGTGTGTGTGTGTGTGTGTGTGTGTG